AACCCACACACCGATCAGTTAAAACGTTTTCTGAGAGTGAGAATGCAGAAAATGAAAATTTGGTACCGGTCGGCGAAGCCGTGGGGAAGCACGGCGAGATACATGTCCAGGTCGAACAGGGAGGGAAGCGACAGTATGTCTGATGTGTGGCGGCGGGGCCGGAAGAGGGGGGGGGGAAACGTTAGCGGCGACCGACACATGCGAATCGATGCGCGAACAGAGAGATGCGTGGGTAGTATAGATTACCATCGAGCTGCTTCTTGCTCAAGCATTCGATTTGTCGCAGCTGATCCCAGTGCCTGTACCGTCCGTAGGCGTAGGAGCAACCGATCAACGAACGGAAAGAAAGCTAAACAAAATTTGAAGAAGAAGAAGAAGAAGACGAAGGGTGAACGAGTGAACGGTACCTGCGCACGTATCCGTTCATTTCGTATTGGAGAAGGCGACAGTACAAGCGGCTGCTGCCCTGCGACAACTGCTCACCCACTACAATATAAAATTGTAAGCAATAAATAAATAAAGAAAAGTGATAATGTGATTATTATTTATTTAAGGATAATAATTGATATTTAATATAAAAAAATAAGGGAAGGGGCGAACCGGAGCAAAAGTCCCAGGGATTGGAGAGGAGCACGGCCCCGTCGACCTTGGCGCGGGAGCCCTCCTCGCCCAGGTACTTGGCCAGGATGTTGGCGCCGAGGGAGAAGCCGACGGCGATCACCTGCGAGGTCGCCCCGTGGCGCCGGTAGATGGCGTCCATCACCTCCTTTGTGTCAGCGGTGAGACCCGCATGGAACGTCTTCGGCACCTGTCATGTAGTGCACGTGTTGCGTGTTGCGTGTTGCGTGTGTCCTGGTTAGATGAGAGCGGTCGTAGCCACCATCACGGTGTCATTGAGGCGAGCGCTGGACGTACTCGGAGGGGCGAAGCGCCGCAGCCGCGCTGGTGCAGAACTACGCATCGCCAGTTCTGCGCTACGCCCTTGCGCAAGAACTGCCTGTTGATCGAATCGTCTGTCATTCAACTGTCCACGCACATGGCACACGCACACGCGGCGGAGAAGGGACATGCCTGATGTAGCGCGACCGCGAGGAGCCCTGGGTGCCGTGAAGGATGACGCACGTGACCATCGGGTCCTTGGCCGCCACCGTCCAGTCTGTACACCGCCAATCATCGCGCCCGAAGAAAGAGAGTGTGAGCGACGATCGCGACCGCGGCGCACCACAACAGCAACAGCGAAAGCGAAGAACGAAGAAGAGAAGAAAGAGCACGCGTGCGCGCATACCCAAGTAGAGCTCGCCGCCGTCAGCGAGAGGGAAGCACTCGGTCTCGAATTCGATGTCCACTCGCCTTCGGCCAACCACTCCTGTGATGCAAACACGCCACAGTCAGCTTACACAACACGCCTGCACGCGCGATGGACACGACACACAACACACACACACACACAACACACACACACACACGACACACACACACACACACACACAACGCGCGCATGGTGCCCAGAGTGAGAGGCACTGACCCAAGAGTGTCTGGAGGTGGGTGTTGTCGAGGCCGGGCGTGGGCCAGAACTTTTCCTTGAGGATGGGCAGGTCGCGCGCCAGCCGAGCGGCGACGCTGCCCTCGCGCGAGCAGTGGTAGACCTCGGGCTCCTTGCCCACGAAGCAGAGGTAGTACAGCGCGTAGATGGCCACCGCCAGCCCCAACACCACTTCGAGCGCCATCTAGGACTGAAGTCTTTGCCTTTATCTGCAAACAAATGAGACTAGAAGATGACATAAATACATCAATCGTGTAAAAGAAGAAAGGGCTATGATAGGAAGGGGCGATCGTACTTGCTTCAATTCAATTGGCCACGATTGAAGATTGAAGAGAAATCGTCTGAGTCGATCACTTCCTTTCTGTAGAAAAAGGAAAGGAGGAAGCTGCAACTGCAAGATGGTTCGATTGATGCTCGCGTGGTGCTGGGATCGCAAGGTTGGCGCGCAGCAACCAGAACTTCGCCGGAGAAAGCTGTGGAATGCAATTCTTCGAGCAAATATGTAAAGAATTCCTCTACTTTCTTTTTCACGAACGAGCCACCCACGGTCAACGACAACCACCATCTCGTAGAGAGCGAGATCAGCGCCAATCATCTTCGAAGCCTTACTCTTACATCCGCATAAAACGCTGAAGATGGTACGTCTTGTGCGCCTTTGTAAGCAGCCTGCTTGCCGCCCTGCATTCTTACCTTGGGCATTGGGAACGACATGTGTTAATAGTTCGTAGCCACCCGGCAACGCTCGGCTTCGGCCCTCGCTGGCCGTCGCCTCACCACGCGCGCCTTCTCCACAGCTTCTTCGTCCAGCCGCCTCTTTGCCTCCAACCACTCGTGCGCCCCCCCCCCCACCACCCAGATCACACTCTTATTATTATGTACATAAATCGATAATATTCAGCTATCCTAAATCCAAGTACCAATCACAACTGTTATGTTCATTCATTTATTGATTTAATTTATATTTCATTTTTGTATATTTTAGGATGGTGTTGGCGACGGGCGCGGCGGTCGGTGTCCTGGCGTCGGCCTACTACCTGGGGTCGTCGCCCCTGTTGGCGGTGGACGAGACCAAGGGCGCTCCGATCGACAAGGACGCCAACTGGAAGGAGAAGTGGCGCGCGAGGTACAACGACAAGATCAAGAACTGGTCCACCCCCGAGAAGATCTTCAACGTCTTCGCCACTGTGCGCAAGGTATGTCCCTCTCCCTCTCTCTTGTTGCCAACGCACACGCGCCGCACGCACACGCCGCACACACGCAACATAGACACGCAACTCACGTGTTGTGCGGTCACGTGGGGCGCTAGAATGGCGAGTCCTTCATGACGGTGGAGGACTTCTGCGATGCCATCCTGCCGGCCGACCACCGCCCGCCCAGCGAGAAGGGCAAGATCAAGAGGATCCCCGACTTCATCCGCTTCGCCGGTATACACCACCACCATCGGTGCCTCTGCGCACTCTCTAATTTCTTCTTTCTCTCTTTTCCACTTCTAACACGCACACGCACCACCGTACACGGCTCAGATCTGGATGGTGACGAGCTGATCTCGTTCGGCGAGTACAGCTTCTTCACCACCCTGCTCAGTCTGCCCGAGGAGCACCTCAAGGTCGCCTTCCAGATGTTCGATCTCGACGGTACGCGCCTGTCTCTCCCCTTCCCCCTCCCCCTCATCGTCTCATTCGCTTGCGCCTTCGTTCTTTGCTTCGCTTTTTTTTCCCCCAGGCAGCGGCGCCATCTCGAAGCAGGAGTTCAGGAAGGTGCTCCGCGTCCTTCGCAAGGAGTCTCCGCTGGGCTCGCAGCAGACCACGCACAAGAAGGAGGTGGAGAAGTCGGGCATCTACGCGCACTTCTTCGGGCTCGACGGCAAGAAGGAGCTGACCTACACCGAGTTCGAGAACTTCATCAAGAGCCTCCACCAGGGCGTCCTGCAGCTCGAGTTCGATCGCTACGACTCCAAGGGCGAAGGTGCGTGCCGCACACGCCGCTCTTGGGCCTGTCGCCTGACTGACATTCTTTCATCGTCGCGCGACGCGACGCGACACGACACAGGCAAGATCACCGCACGCGCGTTTGGCATGTCGGTGATCGGCTACGTCGACCCGAAGGACCTGCCCTCGTTCCTGACCAGGGTCGAGTCGCTCGACAACCGGAAGGTGCGCGTCCTGGGGTGGTCACTCGCCGGAATGCGGCATTCTGACTGATGAGTTGGTCCAACTTGGTTGGGTTTCGCGAAATCGAAACGTAGGGTGAACTGAGCTTTGAGGACTTTGTCAACTTCAACAGAGCCCTCAAGAAGCTGCCCGAGATCGGTCTCGCCGTCAAGCTCTACGCCCAGGGCGGTGAAATCAACAAGAAAGGCACATACCACCATCACCATCGCCATTGTGTCACCAGTTGATGATTGCGTGTGCTGACTGCGCTTAATCAACGCTGGGTGCTCCCAGACTTCGGCAGGGCTGTGAAGGCCATCTCTGGCGTCGACCTTAAGCCCGTGCAGATCGATGTCATCTACCACGTGCTCGACAAGTACGTGCACTACTCCCTCGCAACACACTGTTGGCTTGCACCTCTTGGGGCTCTCTCTAACGTGAGTGTGTGCTCGTCATCGCAAAGGGACGGCAATGGCAAGCTCGATCACAACGAGCTGGTGGAAGTCATGGCCAAGAGGTGCGCTTCACGCGATGCCCCCAGTTGGCGTGACGTTGTGTCGTGCGGTACTTACGTCGTGTCGTCGCGCAACAGGGTGGAGAAGGGTATGGCGCACCACAGGGACGTGGGCGTGGCTCGCTTCGTCAACTGCCTCGTGACGTGCTGCTCGCGCAAGGCGCTCTAATCTTGCTTTTGTATTTCTGAAGGTTCTGACTTTCTGAAGAAAGAAAAAACGATGTTCCGCTGCCGGGAATCGAACCCGGGGCGCATGGGTGAGAACCATAAATGTTACCGACTACACCACAGCGGATTGGTTAAAAAGAGGCAGACAGTGGTCAATTGGCACACTGGCCAGCAACAAAGCTACCACCGAAGGGCGGGATACCAGAACCCAGGCGCCTGTGGGCGGTGTGTACTTTTTTGACCGGACCTGTACCCGACGCCGCGTGAACTGTTCGGCCTCAACCGGAGGTTCCACTGACACCCACCTCCTCCTTAACCTGGTTGCCACGCTTCAGCACTCCTTAACCCAAAACCAAACGTTTGGTTAAACCTAACGTTTAAGCGCCTCTCCCCCGACACCCCAACCATCAAGTTCACAACACAACACCCACGGTCTCTTCGCTTTCTTTAGCATCACACACACTGCAGTGCTGATCAGCACGCACTCGATCCCTGGCACGCGCAGAAGACTCGCAGAGCCACATCTTCAACGCTACGTCGAGTCTCGTTTCACACACAGACTTCGGGTGAGAGATCATCATGATGCTTGTTCGTCTGCTACAGCGGGTGTGGACTCAACGGTTTGAAGATGTGGCGCATATGAGGGGGTGGTCGTGGTGGGAACCGCTTCGCCTGGAGACGTGTCATCCACTTCAACTGCTCCAGCCGCAGTCAACTCCGATCGCCGAGACCGACACAACGGGGACGCAAGAACGGTGGTCCTTAAGTTCAGTTCGCCCCAGCGCCGAGGAGGCTGCATCAACATCAACCACGACTACCGCCTCGCCTCCTGCTGCTGCTGCGACTTCGATTTGGCCCTCCGATGTGATGGTGGACGCCCTGCTGTGCGGGCTCCTGCCCTGCCTCGTCCTTGCAATCATGCTCCTCCTGTTTTTACTGGTGCTACTCCCCTCCCCCCCCCACACTAATCAAAACAATCAAAACAATCGCCATCTTTGTTTTGATCAAAAGTTTGTAAAATTTACATCTTTTGTATGATGTGTGCAGGAGAGGCGATGGGAGGAGGAACGAGCAGCGGGCAACGTGTCGAAGAGGCGGCGTGGCCGTGAGGGCGCGACCCAGCAGGGCCAGCCAGGAGCGGAGCAGCCGCGGGGAGACGACTGGGAGGGCCGGCGGGTGGGCGACTTCGTGCTGGGCCGGGGCATCATCGCCAAGGGCCTCTACGGCCACGTGCGCGAGGGCTACCACGTCGCCACGGGCACCAAGGTGGCGGTCAAGGTGGTCGAGAAGGCCCGCGTGCCGGGCCGCCAGTACGAAGAGATCGCGCTCATGCGCCGCACCAGCCATCGCAACCTGGTTCAACTGCTCGACGTACGTCGCATTCCATCCATTCTTGTGTGCGTGTGCGGTGGTGCGTGTGCGTGTGCGATGACTGTTGACGGTGCTGTGTGTGTGTGTGTGTGTGTGTGTGTGTGTGTGTGTGTTGGCGCGCTCAGGTGATCGAGACGAAGGACACGGCGTTCCTGGTGCTCGAGTTCCTCGGCGGCGGAGAGCTGTTCCACTACATGCACGACAAGCACCGCCTCTCAGGTACTACAAACCTGACCTAAGGCCTCCACATGTTTGCACACACCATGCGCCGTTTGTGTGTGGTGTGGTGTGGGGGGGGTGCGTGAGGTTGCGAGTTGTGTGAACTCACCGTGGGTGCGGGCCGGGGCAGAGGACGAGGCGAGGCGCTGTTGGCGGCAGATCGTGTGCGCGGTGGCCTATCTTCACTGCTCCGGCATCGCCCATCGTGATCTCAAGGTAAAGGAATCATGCACCGCACACGCACACGCACACGCACACGCACACGCACCACCGCACACGCACAAACCGGCTGACGTGGCGCGTATGTATGTTGATCGCGGGGGCATGCAACAGTTGGAGAACGTGATGTTTGCGACGCCGGGCGGGCGCAAGGTGAAGGTGATCGACCTGGGCCTCAGCTGCTCCGTCTGGCCCGGCCGACTGCTCACCTCCTATTGTGGCTCTGTCGAGTACGCCGCCCCCGAAGTGCTCCTCCGCCAGGTACCACCTTCATCACGCACGCACACACACACACGCACCACCGCACACGCACACGCACTACATAAGACACATTGCTGACATTCCCTCGGTGCGGGCTGGGATGCAGCCGCACGATGGCCGCGGGGTGGACGTGTGGGCGCTGGGGGTGATCCTCTACACGCTCGTGGTGGGGTTCCGGCCGTTCCTGGACCGCAAGGCCGCCCTGCAGGGCGACTACATCTCGCTGGACGAGGTGGCCCAGTCCCCCGACGGCGTCGACACGACCCCTGGTTCGTCTCCCCCGCCCGTTGGCTCGGAGTGAGAGTGAAAGCGAAAGCGACTCTTGTGTGGGCTGACCTTCTTCGTGCTTTTTTTTTCGTTCTTTTCGTTCTTCGTTCTTTGCTCTTCGTTCTTTGCTCTTCGTTCTTATTCTTCGATTGCAGAGTTCAGGGATCTGCTGCAGCAAATCTTCCAGATGGACCCGCGCCAGCGCATTTCCATCCATGGCATCATGGCACACCCTTGGACCGGCTTTTGATGCGTTTCGCACGACACGCGCACACTCAACACACGGCGAGCAAGGGAGAAGTGAGAGAGAGAGAGAGAGAGAACCGACGGCGGCATATTGCTGATCGTTGCGGATAGACTGGGTGTCGTTTGGCCTTTTCAATATATTTATGATGATGTACAAAGCACATACTCGATCGTGTGCTGGTGGGTTGAGTTTACTTACACGTCTCTCGAGAGCCTGGCATCGTGGCGAGGAGAGGAGCGAATATAGAGTAGTCGGGGAGAGGGAGGAGGCTGGGGCTGAGGCCGTTCTCAGGAGTGGTCCTGGGGCTTGGGCGCCTTCTTCAGCACTTTGGCCTTCTCCGCTGGTGGCACGCCCATGTGCGACACGTTCGTGATAATCTCCACCTGGAATAATCATCGCGCGCGCGCACACACACACACACACAGCGCGCGTTAGTTCCGTTACTGCGTGCGTGTGGTGTAGGTGTGTGTTGTGTTGTGTGCGTGCGTGCGGTGTAGGTGTGTGATGTGTGTGTTGTGTTGTGTGTGGTGCGTTAAAAGAGTAATGGCGCGTACGAGGCGCAGGTTGAGCTCCTCGATCTGGGAGTTGAGGCGCTCGTTATCGTCGCGCAGGGCGGAGGCGAGGCTGTCGGCCGCCTCGCGCAGGCGTCGCTCTTCGTCGAGCCGGCGCGTCAGTACGGCGTTCTCCTCGGCCAGCTTCCGCCGCTCCTCCTCCTCGAGCACGAACAGCCGCTGGAGCTCCTTGAGCTCGAGCTCCTGCCGGCGCGTCTTCTTAAACTTCATCTTGAGCAGCGACAGGAACTGGTGATCGCTGACCTGCTCGAGGCTGACCTCCACCATCCGCTGCTGCGGCTGTCGCTGCGAGGGCTGCGGCGTGAGGCTCCCGTTCATGTTGACGCTCACGCCCGCGGCGCCCCCGGCCGCCGAGCCGCTGACCAGGAGGCTGTCGATCTCGCGCGTGGGCGTGTGTAGCGCATGGGCGGATTGCGAGCGCGGGATGCCCGATGAGGCGGCATCGATGGAGCGCCTGTTGTTGGATGGGGCCGATGGCGATGGAGCGGGAGAAGGGGGCGGGGATGATGTTGTTGTGGCCCCTTGGCCATCGAGTAGCAGGGCGGCCGCGGGAGATGATGAAAGCGAGGGGGAGAAGGGGATGGACATGGGGGCGTCGGGGGCGAAGGAATCGGAAGAAGAGGGGTAGGCGGGATCTGCGAACATGGAGGCGGCGCGACGATGCCCGCGGGAGGATGGAGACTGCGGCGTTGCGGTGGCCATCATGCGAGGGGAGATGGTTGAAGAAGCTGTGGAAGAGGACTGGGCGGTACTACCAGCAGCGAACATGCCATCGCCCCCCGAGGCCCCATGTCGCGTCAGCAGGGACGGCGTAGGGCCAGGATGTCTCGTAGGGGAGGGAGGCGGATTGTTCGCCCCCTGAGTTGCAGATGCGGATCGTGTGCTGCTCATTTGCTTCATTCTATGCAATTGGATCCAATTGGAATTTGTAGATTAATCTGTTGGCAAGGAACCAAGGTCGATTGGGCGGGACCATCGAAGAGAAACCTCAGGGAAAAGGCATTTCAGATTTCTTTTATATTTCGCACGGGGCGATCAAACAGCGAGAAAACCGACAGACACGTGACTCTGGAGTTCCTCATGAAATTTCTGATGTTTATGAATTTTGATTGGCTATTCTGATAAAGAGGCAAGCCGGAGTTTATCTTGGAATATTCTCAGGCCACGTCATACTCCGGCAGGGGGGCACGGGGGACAAAAGCGGGAGGGCGAAGCGGCCGTCTTTTTTCTTTGCTTCCGAGGAGAGCGTAGACTATACCAACACCACCAATCCACCATGGGTAAGGAGAAGACTCACATCAACCTTGTCGTGATCGGTCACGTCGATGCCGGTAAGTCGACCACCACTGGCCACTTGATCTACAAGTGCGGTGGTATCGACAAGCGAACCATCGAGAAGTTCGAGGCTGAGGCCAAGGAGATGGGCAAGGGCTCGTTCAAGTACGCCTGGGTGCTCGACAAGCTGAAGGCCGAGCGTGAGCGTGGTATCACCATCGATATCGCTCTCTGGAAGTTCGAGACTGCCAAGTACTACTTCACCATCATCGATGCCCCCGGTCACCGTGATTTCATCAAGAACATGATCACTGGTACCTCGCAGGTAACGTATCCCTTCAGTTCGCTCTTCGCTCCAATTGTTGTACAGTACAACTCCGATCCGCATGGCTAATCTCCGTGACTCTACTTCAGGCTGATGTGGCTATTCTCGTCATCGCCTCCGGTGAGGGTGAGTTCGAGGCCGGTATCTCGAAGAACGGTCAGACCCGTGAGCACGCCCTGCTCGCCTTCACCCTCGGTGTCAAGCAGATGATCGTGGTCTGCAACAAGATGGACAACGTCAACTGGGCCGAGAACCGTTACAACGAGATCCAGCGTGAGGTGTCGGGCTACCTGAAGAAGGTCGGCTACAACCCCAAGAACATCCCGTTCGTCCCGATCTCCGGCTTCCACGGTGACAACATGGTGGACCGCACCGACAAGATGCCGTGGTACAAGGGTCCCACGCTCCTCGAGGCCCTCGACGACATCAAGCCCCCCAAGCGCCCCATGGACAAGCCCCTCCGCGTGCCCCTCCAGGACGTCTACAAGATCGGCGGTATCGGTACCGTGCCCGTC